AGCTAGTTCCAGGACAGGCTCCAAAACCACAGAGAAACCCTGTCTCGAAAAACAAAAACAAAAAAGTAAAGTTATATTTAGCTGGGCAGTGGATGCACACGCCTTTAATCCCAGCACTGAGGAGGCAGAGACAGAGATCTCTGTGAGTTCGAGGCCAGCCAGGTCTACAGATCTAATGCTAGGACAGGCTTCAAAGCTACAGAGATAAATCCTGTCTCAAAAAAAAAAATGTAAAGTTATATTTGGAATTAATTTTTGCTGTAATAATATGATTATAACATATTTAATGTATATTGTCTACAGGGTTTCCACAATATTTTAATGACCTACCCTTATAGCAAGTTTCTGGTTGCATGAGAGCTCAGAAGTGTTATATTGACATGCGATTTACGTTTTTACTCTTTTTCTTTCATTCAAAATCAATTTTTGTACATACTCATTTAGAAATTGGAATCATTTTGAATTCCCTGAAGAACACTGAGAGAGATGTTCTCAATATTAAGGAATCTAGATAAACAAAATTAAAATATTTACATTTTGTTTGGGCATACACCGATATTTCCATCAATACATAATTGCTGTTTACGTTACCATGACCAACCAAAAAAAATGAAATACCTCTGCAAATTTAGCAAATTGCTATTTGTTTACCTTCTTCTAAAGCACTATACCTAGAAATAGTGTATTCTCAGTTACAATGTGTTTGGATGCTTGTACAGAATTATTATTTAACAAATAGCATATTATCTCTACTTGGGGAATATCAATCCCCTCAATTTGGAAATGCTCAGAACTACCACTGGAATAAATCCAGCTGGTCTTGTTTGAAGTTGATAACTTTTTTTAAATTTTACTTTACTTTTAAAGATTTTTATTTATTTTGTATATAGGGTTCTTCCTGCATGTGTCCTGCAGGCCAGAAAAGGGCAGCAGATCTTATTACAGATGGTTGTGAGCCACCATGTGATTACTGGGAATTGAACTCAGGACCTCTAAAAGAGCAGCCAATGCTCTTTACCTCTGAGCTATCTCTCCAGCCCTGGAAGTTGGTAACATTTAAAAAAAAAGAGAGAGAGAGAGAGAGAGATAAAAAAGAAACCTTGAACTGGCCCTGGTGGTACAGCCCATAATCCTAGCTTTTTAGGAGGTTGAAGCAAATTCAAGGATTTTTGGATTATAGAATGAGTTCAAGGCTATTTTAGGTAAATTATTGAGCCCCTGTCTTAAAATAAAAGAAGACTAGAGATATAGCCCAATGTCAGAGCACTTGCTTGGCATTTACGAAGTCTTGAGTTCAACCTCTACTACAGGGAGGCAGAAACTGGGGAGTTGAGATGGCAGCTGCTAACAGAACAACAGCAAAACATGAGTCTGCTAGAAGACTGGTGGCTCAGCTGGGAGGCGCTGAACTGTAGGGAACCATCTAAACTGGGATGGGGAACCCTTACAACTCCAAGAATATGGATTTTTCCTTATTGGGGGGGGGTTGAAACAGGGTTTTACTGCCTAACAGTTGTGGCTGTCCTGGAACTCGCTTTGTAGAGTAGGCTAGCCTCAAACTCACAGAGATCTGCCTGCCTCTGCCTCCCAAGTGCTGGGACTAAAGGTATGCACCACTACCGCCCAGAGTATATGGATTAAAAACAATTAATCTATTGTATGTTAGGTGTTTTGCCTGCATGTATGTCTATGTACCATGTGACTGGTACATGGGGAAATCACTGCAATAAGCAGCCTGTGCTCTTAACCACTGACCTTTCTCTCCATTCCTACATTTAGATTTTTAAAAAAATTCCATTTTGGATACAATGTAAGAGATACTTTTATAGTTAGGTTTTTTTTTGTTGTTGTTGTTGTTGTTTTTCGAGACAGGGTTTCTCTGTAGCTTTGGAGCCTGTCCTAGAACTCCCTTTGTAGACCAGGCTGACCTCGGACTCACAGAGATCCGCCTGCCTCTGCCTCCCGAGTGCTGGGATTAAAGGCGTGTGCCACCACCTAGTTTATGTGCACTTTGTACATTATTTTGAAACAGGGTGTCACTATATAGCACTGGCTATCCTAAGACTCATTATGTAGATGAGACTGGCCTCAAACTCAGAGATCTACCTGTCTCTGCCTCCAAATTGCTGTGGTTAAAACAGTGAGCCACAATACCCGGCACAAATTTGCAAATTCCGGTGACTTAAAATTGGGAATACTGATTTTATAAATTGGCCTTGGACTATCACCAATGCCTACTTTTTCTTCATGAAGTTTCCTATACCTACTTGTATACAAGTAGCTTTTCCTTTGTGCCATTCTATATAGAAACAATACCCTATTGAGCTCAGCTGACCTGGGCTGAGTAAAACTGAGCCAACTACACAAGAATAACTGGAATGTAAGTTAAGTTTGAAACAGATTTCAATTTGAAACTTAAAACTGGTGTTTGCTCAAATGATAACAGGCCCTCTCTGTATTATTCTCAGGAACATAGGTAAATTTTCCTTCAAGTGTGCTGCATAAAGTGGCTCATCTTTCTGCTAGTTTAGCATCTCTCAGTTGGGTTCCATACATGTTTAAAAACTGAAAAGGCCAGCTGGGCATGGTGATACACACCTTTAATCCCAGCACTCAGGAGGCAGAGGCAAGTAGATCTCTGAGTTTGAGGTCAGCCTGGTCTACAAAGCAAGTTCCAGGAAAGCTAAGACTGTTACAGAGAAACCCTGTCTCAAAACCAAAAAAAAAAAGTGGAAAAAAAACTTAAAAGGCCTGCACAAGTAGGCTGGCATCCCTGGTTAAAACTGATGAGATGAGTTTAAAGGCAGGCAACATACTTAGTTCACCAAGGCAAAAGTCAATGTACCTTAGCATAGTAGAAAAATTATTCTCTACACCCACTGTGACAGTGCTATGTACAAGCATAATTTATTCTAGAAACCAGGCAAAACAAAGTTTTAACTTCTACAATCTATGTTTGTGTATGTTGTGCTCTTGATTGTTTACACCACACAGACTAACATTTCAACAGTAAAAATAAAAACTCAAAGCTTGGTTTTGGCACAAGTGGCACATATATTATTTTTAGGACTACAAGGAGCTATAGGCATCAAAATGGGTGCTTCTGCCTCAGAATGAGAGACATGAATTTGAAATCAGTAAGTCAGCATAAATGTCCTGAGACAAGATCTTACTACGTACACCTGGCTGTCTATACTCAGAGACTCTCCTGCCTGAGTGCTGGAATAAAGGGTATGCCCCACCACACCCAACAAGGCTTTTTTATCTATCATTAATAACTATCAAAATTAAGTAACATGGTAAGTTATAAGATACAACTGTCACAAGAAGAAATTAATAGATAAAAAACTTGAAAAGGATATAGGAAGTAAAATATCAGGGCATAAACATTCTAATTCAGGAAGAAGCAGGACAAATTCTCTAAGCCTTAACCCAGTCCAGATGAAATTTTGTTGTTGTTGTTGTTTTTGTTTTTTTGAGACAGGGTTTCTCTTTAGCTTTGGAGCCTGTCCTGGAACTCACTCTCTGTAGACCAGGCTGGCCTCAAATTCAGAGATCTGTCTGCTTCTGCCCAAGTGCTGGGATTAAAAGTATGCACCACCACCACCTGGCCCAGATAAAATATTATTATCTCAAGGTACTAACCTTTGTTTGCCCTATAAAGGCCCATTACACAAATTAATATATTTATATTCTAACTGGGAAATCTCCAAGTCTTACATGGTCCATCAATGGTGAATCGTTTGCCAATCTGAGGATCAGATCTTATATCTGTATTCACCTATGTTATATCCCGAGAGGCCCAGCTAGAACAAACAGCCAGCTGAATGATCTCTCTCTCTTTACTATCCACCCTCACCATTGTCACCAACTTCTAACTGTAACACGGGTCACCACAATCCTGTAAATGTCTGTATCCATCTGAGAAATAAAATCAGTCAATATTGGTAAATAACCAAAAGAGAGATGGCTGAGACACTAGCATAACAAAGTCACTGGGAAGAAAGGTCTTTATCACTAAAACTTGCAAGTATTCTTTAACTTCCAAAACAAATTACTCTTCTTTCTAATAGTGGCTCATTGCCCTCAGGATAGGAGATAGACATTTTGAAGGCAATATGGTGGAACACAAAGCTGAAAGTTTAAATGTCATAATCTGACTCAAGAGAAGGCATTATAAATGAATCTTAATCTGGTGAAAGCTGACTTTTATAGAACTGTATACTGTATTTTCCTGTGTACAAAGGGCAGTGATACAGTGAAAAAAGATAAAGAACATGGAAACTTCCTAAGACAAAACTACATTTCTTAAATGATTTAAAAAGATAAAATGAATTTAATATAAAAACAAATATCAACCATATACAATATAAGAATCTGGTCCCTAACTCAAGGAAACTAACAGTTTATAAAACTTGAAAAGAGACAATTGAGAGAATCTGACAAGTTTAGATAGTTGATCATATTAGAAAATAACTTTTCAAACACTTTCAGGGTGTTGTGACTATATTTTTTAAAGATACATATTAAGATAGTTACAGGTGAAATAATAGGCTAAGATTTGCTTCACAGTAACTAGGAAATAGGGAAGAAAACTAAAGCATAGGTAAAGGAAGATTAGCCATAAAGTGAATCAGGGTGATGAAGGAAGGAAAGCCTATTATACTATTACCCATATTTTAGAGTATGTTTGGAATAGTCCATAATGAAATTTAAAACAACAACAACAACACACACACAGACACACACAAGAACACTGCTGGGTGCCTCTGAATAATGGAATAAAATTCCAAATCTAGCTTCTAGCTCCATAACTAGACAAACTATCTAGAAATCTACCATAAACTGGCAAACACATTTACCAAATCATCTTCTATCATTAACCTAAATAGGACAGTGAGTTCTCTGCTAAGTTACTTACCAGATACCCTTTAATGTTCAAGTTTGCTACCCAATTGTAATTTGTGTTTAAGTTAAAATAATTTCTGAAGCTAACAGAATTTTAGCATCCACAGAATTTATTCAGCATAACCATAGAGGCATTGTCTTCATGCTGCTACACACAGACACAAACACAGATACAGCATAATAGCCATGTTTAGCCCAAGCACATTCCTTTTGAGGCTCATTTATATGTCTTCATATGCCACAGCCCATCATTTAAATAATGGATATTTTCAATGCCAATTCCTTTGTTGACTTTCTCACTGTAGAAAGAAAAAAATACATAAGCAGGTTTTATGAATTTTATAGGCTTAATCATTCATGAGAAACACAGTCTAAAGTGTCATGCTACTTTACAATCAGTGAGCACCATGTAGGAAATGTATTGCTATTATATTATTGTCTACATTAAACTACAGTACTCTGTGGCAATTTGTGAGGTTTGGGGATTTGGTTGATCTGACTTCTCTTTTAGTCGGCTATTTGTTTTTTGTGGTACTACAAAATCAAACCCCAGGCCTCATGCGTGCTATACAAGCACTCCACCATTGAGCCACATAATCACTCTTGAAATTCATATTTAAGTGACTCTAAAGCTGGGTGTGGTAAGACACCACCTATAATCCCAGCCTGGAGGCAGATCAGAAATTCAAAGTCATCCTCAATTGCATGGTGAGTTCAAGATCAATCTGGCTACAAGAGACTCTGTCTCAAACACCCAAAAAATAGCCAGGTGTTAGTGGCCAACGCCTTTTATCCCAGAGGCAGGTAGATCCCTGTGAGTTCGAGGCCAGCCTATTCTACAGAGTGAGTTCCAGGACAGCCAAGGCAACACAGAGAAACCCTGTCTGGAGTGGAGAACAACCCGGAAAGTAAATACAAACAGAACGATACCTACAAAATATGCAAACATCAACACACTAAATCTCAAAGTAAAATTAACAGAATTTTGGTTATATATGTTGAAAACATGCTACATTTCTTTTATCACCAGGTTAGAATGTAAAATAGTATATATTATTTTTTTGGTGTTTCGAGACAGGGTTTCTCTGTGGTTTTGGAGCCTGTCCTGGAACTAGTTCTTATAGACCAGGCTGGTCTCGAACTCAAAGAGATCCGCCTGCCTCTGCCTCCCAAGTGCTGGGATTATAAAATAGTATTTTTGAGACAGTCACTTTGTAGTCCCAAGTAGCCTCAAACTCACAATCCCCCTACCTCCACCTCACAAAGTGCTAGAATTATAGTCAGGTGCTGTTACACCCAGCTGTATGTGTGTTTTTCAAAACTAGCAGTAAAATACACACCCTCTAGCACCAATTTAAACCTAGATAGGCACTAAAGAGAAAATCCTAAAGTATCACATACACAGATAGGTCTAACACCTGTTTCAGCACGTTTCATTTCAAAATGTTTAAGAATGTAACCCTGAAGACAAAGTAAGTTGTAATGGCTTCCTAATGTTAGGAAAAATAAATGAGCTACTTTGCTTAGATATTTATAAGATGTGGTATGAATGACATCAAACGTCACCTGTAACTGATGCTTCCTGAGCTACCACTCATATTTCAGTTATTTGAGCCTAAAATGAGACTTACATATCTTCTGCAGACATCTTCATGACACCAACACACAAAGCATGTTGCTTTCCTTCTGCCATGATTGCCTGAAAACAAGCTAAGAAAACTATTTCTCAGTTTGGGGAAGGGAAGTATGAGAAACAATGATTGCTTTGCCATTTGAGCCCGTCTTTGTTCTCTCCTAGACCATTGATTCCTTACGAGCAGGAACCTATTGGTCTTTGGGTACAATGTAAATAGCCAATAAATCCTCAATGAATTGATCATTTTAGTTTCAAGCCAAATATCAGTACTGCACCTCCCTATGAACCAAACCAGAAAGTCAGGCAAAAAGAAGATAAAACTTACTGCAGATAAATACTAAAATCTGTGAAATATTTATCAACTGCTTTAGTTATTTCTACAACCAAATGGTGGCTTTATATAAATAACACATAAAATACTAATTATATTCCCAGCTGGGCAAGGTACAAGCTGATAATCACTATACTTAGAAAGTTAGGGAAGGCCGGGCGATGGTGGCGCACGCCTTTAATCCCAGCACTCGGGAGGCAGAGGTAGGCGGATCTCTGTGAGTTCGAGACCAGCCTGGTCTACAGAGCTCGTTCCAGGACAGGCTCCAAAGCCACAGAGAAACCCTGTCTCGAAAAACCAAAAAAAAAAAGTTAGGGAAGGAAAACCATAAAATTTAGTAAACCCTGAGCTACATAGCTAGTTTAAGGTCAGCTCTATGTTATATAACAAGACTTGTCTCAAAAATATACTAGATTTCCACTCTATTTTGATGAGCCCCCTGTAACAGTTTCAGCTTTTATACAATTGAAACAATGATTTTAGTTATCCTTTGAAGCTTCCATGTTTTATGCTGCAGTGTTTGAGTTCAAATACACACAGAATCTCTACTATTTTTTGCAATTTCTGCAAATCTGTTACTTCAAATGAGGAAACTTCATCTCCAAAAGAGGAGTGGGGGGTGATGATAAAGTTAAGGCACTAGGAAAATCTTCCAGTCAAGGAAAAATACAGACCAGAAAACATACCATTGTTTAAATCTATAAACATAAAAGGTAACTGTCCTCAAAGAATACTTTTCTCCATTGACTTTCCAGTGGTCCATTCAGTATAGCACCAATATTTGAACACCTAGTATGTGACTCATATCTACATTAATACAATGTGTGTCTATCATATACAACTTATTCTATCCTTTAGGTATAAATGCCACAAAAGAGAAAACCTTCTTTTGAGCACAAGACACAGAATACACCTCTTTTTGAAAGTTAGTGTTACACTATGTAGCCCAGGCGGATCTGGGCTATGTAAACCAGGATGGTCTCAAATTCACAAAGATACCTTGTGAGTGCTAAAAGTATGTACCTATCATTACACCCAGGTATTTTTGTTTCTGAGGCTGACCTCAAGCTAATGGCAGTCTTCTTGCCTCAGCCTTCCAAGTATTAGGATTACAAATTTAAGCTAACAACACATCCAGTTAAAACACACCTTTAAATGCAACCCTTCATAGTGATTTCCTTGTACGCACCAATTACTATTCCTTTTCTCAGCCTGAGGCAAATGACCACTCTATGATAAAGCAGAAGATTCCTGTCCTAATGAACAAAATCCTATATAATAGATAATATAATGAAATATTGCTGCAAATTGGAAGTGATGCAGAATCACTTATTCCTATTCATGGCATAAACAATATCCTTTAAACAGTATGGAGCAGGGCTGCGATGGTGCACCTCTGGAATATCAGCACCTGGGAGGCTGGAGCAGGATTGTGAGTTCAAAATCAGTCTGAACTACCTAGTAAGATCCTGAATGGGGCGTGGGGAAAGAGGAGAGACATGGTAGCCCACACCTGTAATCCAGCATTTGGGAAATAGAGGCAGGAAGATCATCAAGAGTTCCAGGCCAGCCTGGGCTGCATGAGACCCTGTCTTAAAAACAAGTTTTAAAAAGTGAGTTTCCTCCCTAGCAACCCCTAGACAAAAAGTATAACAGGAATCATTAACTGATCGTGACTTAAAAGATCATCATAACTAAATGTGGTGGTCACAGCCTTACTTCCAATGTTTAAGAGGCAAAGGCAAGAAGATCTCTGTGAATTTGAGGCCAGCCTGATGTTTACATAGCAACTTCTTTGCCACCAGGGCTACATAGTGAACTGCTGTCTCAAAACAAATAAAAAGTCCAACATAATAAGGTGTACTGTACATGAAGACTATTCCTTGATTTGAAGCTGTCTCAGTTTACCACTAGTTCTTCTATTTCTGGTTTGTTTTCGAGGCAGTCTCATGTACTCCAGCCTGGCCTTGAACTCATGGTACTTGTCCTGTCTCAGCTTCCCAGATTCTGGGAATACAGGTACACACCACAGCTTATAGGTCCATGTGCATTTCTTTTAAAAAGTTGAATAGGTTATATTGGCTTTTTGCTCCTGTGTTTATTTCTTTTCTTTCTTTTTATTTTTTTTTTGTTTGTTTGGTTTGGTTTTTCATAACAGGGTTTCTATGTAGCCCTGACTATCCAGGAACTCACTCTATAGACCAGGCTTGCTGGCCTCGAACAATCTGCCTGCCTCTGCTTTCCTGAGTGCTGGGATTAAATGCATGTGCCACCACTGACTGGCCTGTGGTTAAGGTCTCACTTTTTCCTTGTTTGAAACTACATTGCAATGCCTCTAAATGCATTTATTTGACCTATCACATTCATTATTATCTACCACTTTCTTTTACTAATGAGACCTGTAAGAACACAAACTAAGACAGTCAATCTGGGAATATAGTCCTTCCAAAAATTCATTCTTAGCTAGGTGTGGTGGCACATGCCTTTAACCCCAGCACTTGGGGGCAAAGGCAGGCGGATCTCTGTGAGGTAAACCTGGTTCATATATAAATTCCAGTACACCCAGGACTTGGAAAGAGAGACCCTGTTTCAAAAAAGAAAACAAATAAAAGACCTAGCTAGACATGATGGCTCATTCCTGTGATCTGATACTTGAAAGCTGATACAGGCAGATCACCAAAAATTCAAGATTAGACTAGACTCCTTCTCAAAAAGAAACAAATTCTACTTATATATTTTCAAGTTGAATATGTTAAAAATCTTAAAATGTTTTCTAAGTGTATTGTGTGATGTTCACCCGTAATCCTAGTACTTGGGAAAACTGAACTAGAAGATCACTATGAGTTCAAGGCTAGCTTGTGTTGCATAACAAGATTATTTTAAATATAAAAATACACGTTTCTCTTAGAGAAAAATATGTTCTCAGCTCGAAACCAACCTCATAAAAGTCAATCTTTAGGGTGGTACATTCATAGATGCCTGTAAACCCAGCACTGGGAGGCTGAGACAGGAAGATTCAAGGCCACCCTAGGCTACCTATTGAGTTCCGGGCTAATCCAGGCTAAATAACACAAAATATTCCCCCCACCCCCCTTACCCCACACACTATACCTGCTGCCTCAATTCAGTTCTTTCTTGAATGCTTTTATTCCACTATTGATAGGGAAGCTTTGTTAACTAATTATCTTCAAGAGGTGGGACCAAGTTAGGTCCCAAATCTAGCTAACTTCTACACACTATATCTGGAGAGTCAAACTAAACATTAAAGTGACAAGTTTATGTGCAAAAGAGGATCCAGACAGATCACCTATAACCTATTCATAATCAAGTTTCAGACTGCATCCTGAGTCTGATAATAGGTTATAAACAGGCTGCAATGACACTGGAACTCCTTAATAACTTTTTAATTACCTTCTATGAATCCACATAAAATGAAACACAATTTATCATCACGAAATAAAAAGGGAAGACAAGAGGATCCAGAAGGTAGAAGTGCTTAAGATACAAACCTGATGAGCTGAGTGCTATCCCAAGATCCTACAGTAAAAAGAGAGAATTGACTCCTGAAGTTGTTCTCTTACCTACACATACATATACATATAAACACATACACAGAGAAATAGAAAATTTAAAAATAAAAAAGGAATATGGCATGACAGTATATGCCCGTGGTATGACCCATGAATAAGGAATTCAAGAATAGTGTTGGCTACATAGTAAATTCAAGGTCAGTTGAAGACTGTCAAAAAGAAGAAGGGAACTGGTAATAGTGGTAAACATCTGTAATCCCAGCACTCAAGAGGCAGAAGCAGGATTACAGAAAGGTCAAGGATAGTCTGGGCTACATAGTAAAATCTAAGCCAGTCAGAGATATATAGTGAGATCCTGTCTCCCATCAATCAATCAATCAATCAATCAATAAATATAAACAAGAGAGTGGGCATGGTGGCACATCCCTTCAAAACCAGCACTCAGGAGACAGAGGCAAGTAGATCTTTGCGAGTTCGAGGCCAGCCTGATCTATATAACAAGCTCTAGGCCAGCCAAGGCTACATAATAAGACTGTCTCAAAAAAAAAGGAAAATATAATTGGGGGTAAGAGGAGTAAATATAATCATAGTACATTGCATACATGTGTAAAATGGTTTAAAGAAATTTATTTGAGAAAAAAATTGAAAATGGGGAGCTAGCTGAGTGATGGTAGCACATGCTTGTAATCCCAGCACTCAGGAGGCAGAGGCAAGTGGATCAATGTGGGTTCAAAGCCAGCCTGGTCTATAGAGCTAGTTCCAGGAGAGCCAAGGGTACACAAACTCTGCCCCGAAAAAACAAAGAGGAGAGGGAAGAATGGGGCACATGCCTATAATTACAGAACTTGGAGGGTAGAGGCAGGAAGAGTAAGAGTTCTAGAGCATCCTTGGCTACAAGTTTGAGACCACGCTGGGCTACATGAGACACTTTCTCAAAAAGAAAAAAAAAGAAATAAAAAGGCTACTTGATTCCAGTTCATCTCTCACTTCTTTCATGGCCAAGAATATGCCATCTTATAATCCTATGATCCCAACATTCAGGAAACAGGGGTAGAAGAATTCTGATCAATCTGAGAACAATTTGGAATCCATGGTGAGTTCTAAACCAGCCTGGACCACATAGTGAGTCTGAGGTCCAGCCAAGGCTACATAGTAAGACCTTATCTCAGAAAAAGGAAGGGAGGGAGGGAGGAGAGGAGAGGAGGGGAGGAGAGGAGAGGAGGGGAGGGGAGGGGAGGGGAGGAGTGGAGGGGAGGGGAGGGGAGGGGAGGGGAGGGGAGAGAAAAAAATTCAAGGTTGGTTGATTTGAGTTTATCTCCCATTTCTCTTAGTCAAGATTAAGTCTCCTTCAGTAGGGTGTGGTAGCACGTGCCTGTAATCCAAGCACTGATGGGGAGACTGAGGCAGCAGAATTACGAGCTCAAGGCTAGCTTTGGCTACAGAGTGAAACTCCAATTCTGAAAATATACTAATAAAAATTAAAAACACATATAATATTCTTCTGGATGCTAGATATTTCAGTAATGGCAAGAACACAATGAACAATTTTTAGTGGTTAAGCCCCAGGAAGGATACAACAATAGTATCTATGGCAGCAGGGTAAAGCTTAGCTCCAGGAGAAGTTAAGCCGGGACACATGATATTTGCTCCACTGAGGACAAATGTGATGGCTCCTTTATCAACCTGCTGATGTGGCAAGATAAAAGGATCTACAAGAGAAGAAATAAATTATATAAATTAGTATGACTGAAGACTCAAAGAACACAAACAAGTATTTCCCAAAATTACAATACTCTTATGGTTGCAAAATAAAAGCCAGCCGGGTGATGGTGGCGCACGCCTTTAATCCCAGCACTCGGGAGGCAGAGGCAGGCGGATCTCTGTGAGTTCGAGGCCAGCCTGGTCTGTAGAGCTAGTTCCAGGTCAGTCTCCAAAACCACAGAGAAACCCTGTCTTGAAAAACAAAACAAAACAAAAAAAAAAAAAAACAAAGCAAAATAAAAGCCAAATCACTATCCTTTACTAACAAATTTGATAAATATTTTCAAGAAAAGAGTATAGGAGTATACATCCAAATAGCTTGCAAATGGGTGTAAGCTTCCTTTAGAACAATTTAGCAGCATGGATTAAAAGCCTTGAAAAGAATTCTATTCTTAACCCAGTAACTCTACTTCTGAGTCTGTCCTAAATAATAAGGAGGGATGTGCAGTATGTTGGATAGAAAGATGTGTTCCATCACTAACATACAAAAAAAGAAACTCAGGTGGATCACAATGTCTAACAAATGGTAGAGGGAAGATATATCAATAAGAGTAGTATAAGTTGGTGGTAGCGCACGACTTTAATCCCAGCACTTGGGAGGCAGAGCAAGGCAGATCTCTGTGAGTTTGAGGCCACCCTGGTCTACAGAATGAGTGCCAGGACAGGCTCCAAAGCTACACAGAAAAACCCTATCTTGAAAAACAAACAAGAACAAAAAAAAGTAGTATAAGTCTACAATAAACCATGCTTTTAGAAAATACTTAATGCCTAGAAACTCTTCACAATACAACATGTAAATGAAAAAAAGCAGAAATAAAATATTGTCAAAAAGGATCACTGGCCAAGCAATGGTGGCCCACACCTTTAATCCCAGCACTCAGGAGGCAGAGGCAAATCTCTTTCAGTTCAAGACCAGACTGGTCTACAAAGTGAGTCCAGGACAGCCAGGGCTACACACAGAGAAACCCTATCTCAATCAAATAAAAAAATCAGTGGTTACTAGAAAGAGGAAGAGTGATAAAATTGTATGAAAAGAACTCTTAGCTGGGCGGTGGTGGCACGTGCCTTGAATCCCAGCACTGGGGAGGCAGAGGCAGGTTGATCTCTGTGAGTTTGAGGCCAGCCTGGTCTACAAGAACTAGTTCCAGGACAGGCTTCAAAGCTACAGAGAAACCCTGTCTCAAAAAAAAAAGAAAGAAAAGAAAACGAAAAAGAAAAGAACTCTTATAACTAGTAATCCTATCAATAATGATTCATCAACTGCAAGTGCACATGATTTACCAATGCAAAATCTTACTAGAGAAAACTAAGTAGTAGAGAGCCCAATTTTAAAAGAACAAAAATGATTGTGCTCAGCACTATAAAGTCGACCTAGCATGCACAAGGTCCTGGGTTCAGCACTATAAAGTCGACCTAGCATGCACAAGGTCCTGGGTTCAGCACTATAAAGTCGACCTAGCATGCACAAGGTCCTGGGTTCAATTTCCAGCACAAAATAAAACAAAACAGAAAGTGTTTGTATACAACATAGGAAATACAGTGGATGAGAATATACCAATGAACTAAATATAGTTTACTCTGGATTACAGGAATACACTTGCTTATTAGTTTCCTATTCCTGTGATTTCCCACATTTATGTACATTTTTTTGTAATCTTAAACAAAAATATCTGTGTGTATATACCAATAAATTACAAACCAACAATTAAAGAATCTCTAGAGGCTTTCACACGATGACTCAAGGATTGGAGGTTTTAATGGCTTTGTTTTTCTTTAGATTTATTTAGGACTATGGGTGTTTTGTCTACATGCATGCACACCAGAAGAGGGCATTAGATTCCATGGGACTACAGTAAGAGACAGTTGTGAGTCATCATATGGGTGCTGGGAATTGAACTCAGGACCTCTGGAAGAGTAGCCAGTAACTGCTAAATCATCTCTCCAGTCCTTAGAGTTTTTAATCTTCTCTAAGCTCCCTAGAAATAATGACAGTAGCCAAATATGGTGGCACAGCTTTATAATCCCAGCACCTAGGAGGTAGAGGTAGAAGAATTAGAAGTACAAAAGCAGCCTTGGTTACCTAGTGTTTGTCACAAAAAACAGTAACAACAACAACTTATTCCCACTGCATCCAAATTTAATTTCTATCAGATCTTAACCTAAAAATAGCAATGCTTATTTGAATAACTATAATTAGTTTTATGAATATTAAAATATTTCACCTGCTTTAAGATTTGCCAGTTTTTCTACTCCTGACCTCTGTAAGGCTAGGCAATTAAAACTGTATCTCCTTGTGATTTAATGAATTTGGTTTTTTACAAGGAGATAAATTCAATCACCACTACCCATCACAATAGAGTCTATAAATCACAATCTTTCCTTCTGCCTCTTGACAACAATACCAAATCAAAAAGCAAATTTTAGTTCCCACTTGAAAAGTTCTTGCTCATTGGAATTATATCTTCCTCCATTTTTTTGTAATATAGTCAGTCTAACAATTTGTAAATGTATGCATGAAATAAACATTATTTGATTTCATGGCATCTGTTCATGTACTCCTTCAGTAATAAATGGGACTTCCACATTTACCTAATGCTTTTCTATACACAGAATTATCTCTATTAGAGAACTCTAGTAATAAACTAAAATGAAAATCTTCAAAGCCCTTATCAGTTTATGAATATATATGTTTACAATTACATACTGGTCTAGTCTTCTAACTACAATAAGGACAAGGTACTATGTCTGTCTTTGCTTACGATTACACTAGCCTCTAGTGCCAACATATAGAAAGTTCACTAAATAATTATTGAATTAAGATTTTTGGGGGTCTTTGTTTCAGAGGAGGGTATCACCTGATAGTCCAGACTCGCCTCAAAATTGTGTTATTCTCTTGTCTCAACTTCCCAAGCTCTGTGTTTACATCTGTGAGCCACCTCACTGGGCTGTTATTGAATGGATGAACTAATGAATGCTTTTTTTGTAGGGGGAGGGCTTTCTCTAATACATAAGAGAATTTGCATTTTTCAGACTTACAAGATGAGAATCCACTTTACTTTTATATTCCTCATTACTTAGCACAAATAAATAACAAACTATCAGAAGTAACTTTCCACTCCTATAGTTTTCAATTCCTTTTGTGTATTTTTATATTCCCAAATGCATATTTCTAACAAGACTTACATTTATGAAGTAATCTTAGGGTTGGATAAAAAGGCCCTTCTCTTTGTCTAAAAAACAGTAATTCCCCATTTACTGTAAGGATTTCTATGTGTTCATGGCTGTAAGAGAAATGTCACAAAGTACCAAGTTAGATATTTTCTTTCCAAAGTGAATATAAGTCAAACATCCTATAAAATTATAACATGAAATAGCCACATACAAAGATACATGAGCTTATTAATCCAGTGAAGATCCTGACCTAAAAATACCTATCCAGTAGAGAAAACAATAGAGGACAGAGAGGAAATATGACCTGCTACATCCAATTTCATTCCACATTTTATTATTGTAATTCCATTGTCAAGTAATAAAATACATATTTCAAGAGCAAACTGAAATAAATTCAATTATAAAAACAAGTCTTTGATAAAACAATACACATTTTAATATATGTAGATAAGATTTGAAAATTGAAATATTGACAAGTTTAGAGTTAATTCTGTCCATTCTCGTCATTAGTCTATGGATGACTAACAAGTTTAGAATTAATTCTGTCTATTCTCGTTATTAGTCTATCAATAACTAATGTGGAAATATTCCATTTAGAATGAGAACAGTCTAACCTTTGATAGTCAGGTACTCTAATTTTTTTTTTTTTGGTTTTTCGATACAGGGAGCCACTCTTATCTTTATGTGGAGAAAAACAAGGACTTACCATCGGACAATTTTCACAGGATCTTTCTTAGGCATGATTTGATTAAGCCATGGTTCAATACCTGGAAATTGCTCTATCAATTGATTTTTAATACCCTTAATAACCGAGGTTTTCAACTGGATGCAGTTGGACACATTTTCTTTTTCATCAAATCTGGCAAATGATTTTTCAAAGAAAAAAAAAAGAGGGCATTGCTAAGCAGAAGAATCAGAAAATCTAAAAGTAAGGTTCTAATTAATCATCTATTCCCAAGCAAGTAGTCATGCTTAAAATAATTATGAAGTAAATTGCTTTTAAAATACCACAATTTCCATTTGTCTTATACAACATAAAACCAACGTTTTAAAACAATATTAGAATAAACTGCCATGCCTATTGCAATTAATGAGGGCAGAGTAATTGTTATGCTAGAATTCATTATCAGGTACATAAATGCCTTTTACTAAAAATTCTTGCTCAAAGAAAAAAATAGATTCCCACCCATAAAAAAAAAACTGTGTTTTTTTTTTTTAATCTAAACAAAACCTCACACGTTAAGATACAAAAGACCACCCAAGCATAACAAAAGAATGAGCCCCGGCAGGTTATGGAGTCTGCTGGGACTTTTTTTTTTTTTAGGAATGTTGATGATAATTTTAAGATCCGTTAAGATCTGCTCAAATTTTCATGCACAAAACCCACCTTCCTTTTCCCATGTTCCCCCTTTGCCTTTCGCGTCTATCAAATCTGGAAGATAAACCCACTGGGTAGGTTTCCAAGGAATTTTTGTCTTCCTACACTGACTAGCGCACAGGACTATCTCGTTGTTTTCAAGACAAGGTTAATCTGGCAGCTAAGCAATAGGCTTGATAGACTGCCTGCTTCCTGTCACCCAGACTCCTTCGCTGCCATGACCCAGGAAGTCAAGCCTTCCCTTTTTCAGTTCATAACTAATAAACATATGGCAGCGAGTGCAGGGCTCTCCTCTCAACTAAGGAGGATGTGCCCCTAAATCACAATGCAAGGATGTGATTGGTAGAAACCTAGGAATGGAGATAGCACTGCCGGATGGGGCAGAACAGGGTTAAGGAGAAAGAAAATGGGAGCGGGAGAGCCAAACCACGATTGAGGGCTAGAGATGGAAAGCTTAAAGAAGTGTTCCAAGTCCTGAGTGAGAGCATAGTACTATATATATCTAAAAAAAATCTTAGGGAGTCAGGATGGCAGGGGCGGAGGAGAGAAAGAGAGCCTTTGCTCTTGCCCTCTTCCCCACCCCCACCCCCACCGCCTTTGTGAGCAGCCGAGCGAGGCCACAGCGTGTCCTTACTTCTTGAACATGATCCAAGGTGAAGGGGGCGACGATAGGGAAGGGCCCGGAATGGGAAGGAAATTGAATTAGGAAGGGTCCAGCACGAGGAAGGCCGGCACTGACAGTAGGAGCTGCTGTCCTTATCCGGAAGGCGAAAATACTACCCGCTTTAAGGCCCTCAGCGAAATCTGACTACTTCCGCTCCTCTCAACTCCACGTTGACGCTTTTGTTGCCTCCTTTTGAGTAACAGCTTACTCCCCATTGGGGATAGCTGAAAGGGCGGGACTTTAGAAGTGATCAAGCAATTCTTTCTGGTTGCTGAAAGAGAAGAATGGAGGAGGGCGGGAATCAATCAAAGCAGCATTTTAAGCAGTTGCGTCAGTTACGGGTTCCTCAAAGGGTCAAAATTCTTTGGTCATTTGGTTGCTACCCATTACTGTACCAAATAATTTGTAATGACAATGATTTTTGTTTTCTGTGTGAGGTGACCTAGGGAATTGGTGCTTACCAAGCAGCATGAACCTAGATGACCCTCAAATTACAGGATACTTAATTAAATTTGAATTTCAAATTAAGTGAACATCTTTCACTGCAAGCATATCTCATCTATATTTTGAACATGCCTATGCTAAGAACTGCTTGTTTATCTGAATTTAATTAAACAACCTCTTTTTTTTTTTCTTTTTTTTTTTTTGGTTTTTCGAGACAGGGTTTCTCTGTGGTTTTGGAGCCTGTCCTGGAACTAGCTCTTGTAGACCAGGCTGGTCTCGAACTCACAGAGATCCACCTGCCTCTGCCTCCCGAGTGCTGGGATTAAAGGCGTGCGCCACCACCGCCCGGCCTCTTTTTTTTTTTAATCTGGCAGCACTAGTCATTAGAGAGTGAAGTGCTCTCATAGAATTATCAAATAAGTCACCAAGTTGCTGTCCCCTGCTTCACTCGGATACTTAGAAACTGAACTATAAATAGAATGTAGTAGGGAATGATGGTTTACGCCTTTAATCCCAGCACTTGGGAGGCTGGGTAGGTGGGTCTCTGAGTTCAAGGCCAGACTGTTGTACATTACTAGTTTAGGTTTAGGGACAGCCAGGGTCACGGAGAAACCACATCTCAAAAAATAAAAAATTAAAAAAAAAAAACAGCCGGGCAGTGGTGGCTCACACCTTTAATCCCAGCATTTGGGAGGCAGCTGCAGGTGGATCTCTGTAAGTTGAATGCCAACCTGGTCTACAGAGTGAGTTCCAGGAAAGCCAGGACTGTTTCACAGAGAAACCTTGTTTCAAAAAACAAAAACATAAAAAAAATAAAAATAAAAACAAACAATCAAAAAAGTAGAATTTCCTGTCAGACATGGATAACACAGCCCATATTCACAGCACTTGAATGGCAGGAGGAAACTTTAGACCCCCATCTCAAAAAGAAAACAAAACAGAAATTTTAAAATAGCTAATTTCCTTAAAGAATAAAAAGACCACTGGACCAGTAATAATAGTCATAATCTAAATGAAGAGATAAAGAATCCATTTTGTGGTGCATGCCTTTAATCCCAGCACTCAGGAGGCAGAGGCAGGTGGATCTCTGTGAGTTCAAGGCCAGCCTGGTCTACAGAGCGAATTTAAAAAAAGAAAAAAGAAAGAAACCCATTTTGCTGATTCCTAATAATACTCTGCTATACACATAGATAGGAGCCTAACATAATCATCAACAAAGAGGCTTCAACCAGCAACTGATGGAAACAGACACAGAGAACCACAGCCAAACATTAGGCAGAGTTTAGGGAATCGTGCAGAAGACGGGGAGGAAGGAGCCAGAGGGATTAAGACACTACAAGAACACAGCCCACAGAGTCAACTCACCAGGGCTCATAGGGGCTCACAGTAAATGAAGCGACAGTCAGAGAGTCATAAGTCTGACCTTGGTCCTCTGCATATCTATTATGACTGTGTAGCTTGGTATTCTTGTGGAACTCTTAACAACGGGAGCAAGGGCTGTCTCTAACTCATTTTTTGCCCTCTTTTGGGACCCTTTACCTCCTACTGCATTGCCTAGTCTAGCCTTGATATGAGGGTTTGTGCCTAGTCATTTTGTAATGTGTTATGCTATGTTTGGTTGATAGCCCTAGGAGGCTTGCTATTTTGTAAAAGGAAACAGGGAAGAGTGGACCTGGGGGAGAGGGTGGGTTGGGAGGAGAGGAGGGAGGGGGAAATGGTGGCCAGGGTGTAAAATAAGAGGGAAGAATAAATTTCTAAATAAAAAGAGAAGAAATATATTTTGCTTGTGTAATTTTTTTTTTGAGACAGGACTTCATTGTATGTCCCAGACCGGCCTGGAACTCCTTATGTTGATCAGGTTGACCCCTGAGTTCCAGGTCAGCCTGATTTGTAGAGCAAGTTCCAGGGCAGCCAGGGTTACACAGAGAAACACTATTTTGAAAAACAAAACAAAATTAGTAATAAGTAGACAAATTTATTAGTTTATTGCGCTTTTTATTTGAGAATCTACTAAGGGGATTAGAGCAATGTTTCCCCAGTTAAAAGTACTGGCTGCTCTTCCAGAGGACCTGGGTTTACTTCCTAGGACCCATGGAGCCACACATAACCATCTATAACTCCATTACTGGGTGCTCCAATGCCCTATTCTTGCCTCCATGAGCACCAGGTGTGTATGAAGGAAGAACACCCATACACATAAGAAAATAATAATTTAAAAACGACTTATATTTATTCAGAAATTCATATTAGTAGAAATAATAACTTCTTACTCATGCATTCAATCTCTTGCTAGAGCTGGTACCATGTATTGCCAGTACCCAGTCGATGGCATTTTTGTTTTGTTTGGGGCTTTGGGTTTTGGGTTTTTTTGTATGTGATTGTAGTAGTACTGAGAATGGAGCCCAAGGCATCGTGCACACTGGGCAAGCACTCCACCACTGAGCTACATTCTCATTCCTCTTATCTTAATTTTTAGCTTTATTTTTGTTGTTGTTGTTCTTTTGATTTTTTGAGACAGGGTTTCTCTGTGTAGCTTTAGCTGTCCTGGAACTAGCTCTTGTAGACCAGGCTGGCCTTGAATTCACAGAGATCCTCCTGCCTCTGTCTTCTGAGTACTGGGATTAAAGGCATGTGCCCCCACCAACCAGTTTAGTTTTTAAGTTTTGAGATAGAGTCTCACTATGTTGCTCTGGCCAGCGTTGAATTTGAGCTCTTTTTCCCTCAGCTTCCTGAGTATCTGAGATTACAGGCCACTGCTAGCAGGCTGTGAGTGGTAGTTGCTGCTTGGTTGCTTAGAGTTTTTATTGTTCTTTTGTGTTGTTGCTGTTTTTGTTTGAGGCAGACCCTTACTCCATAGGCTGTCCTGAAATTCACCAAGTAGCTCAGGCTGACCCCAAACATGAAGTTCTCCTACTCAGCCTCCCAAGTGCTGGAATTACAGGCATCAACTGCCACACAATTCAGCGGCACAGCGTATACCTAGTATGTACCATACATACGCACCCACCCCACCCTCACACGCCTGCTGTATCATTAATTACCAAACGGAACTCGAAAGAATTCTTTCTTTTTAAAATGTATTTATTTATTTTATGTATGAGTGCTCTATCTTCATGTATAACTTTATGCCAGAAGGGGGCATCAGAGTCCATTAGAGATGGTTGTGAGCCACCATGTGGTTGCTGGAAATTGAACTCACTCAGGACCTCTAGAATAGAGCTCTTAACCACAGAGCCATCTTTCCAGCCCTGAATTGTTTCTTTCTTTTTTAAAAAAATAATTTATTTTTGTTTATGTTATGTGCATTGATGTTTTTCCTACATGTATGTCTGTATGAGGGTGTCAGATCCCCCGGAACTGGAGATACAGACAGTTGTGAGCTGACATGTGATTGCTGGGAATTGAACCCAGGTCCTCTGAAAGAGCAGCCAGTGCTCTTAACCTCTGAGCCATCTCTCTAGCCCCGAATTGTTTCTTTCTTTGTTTTTTCCTTGCTTCCTCTGTCTGTGATAGATAGGGGTTTCTGTATATCACCCCAGAAAAAAAATAACAAAATAGTGTTATATATAATATAATAATGAAATGGAGTCTTCTTTTCCAAGATTATGTTTTAGAATTTTTTCCTGAGAAAGAAATTATTTTATTTATTTATTGCGTGTGCAGTGTGCTCATGTGCATACCACAGTGTGCATGTGAGCAGAGGGTAGCTTGTAGGAGTCAGCTCATCTCTTCTGCCTTTGGAACCTGGGAAGCAAACTCATGTGATCAAGCTTAACATAAGCATCTTTACCTGTTGCACCATCTTGCTGGCCCAGCATTCACCTTTAAGTAAATCATTACTATAACAAACCAGTGCCACAGAGGATGTATTTCGAAATTATTCTCTTCAAAAATTAAAAATTGAGCTGGGTGGTGGAGGCATACACCTTTAATCCCAGCACTCTGGAAGCAGAGACAGGTGAATCTCTGAGTTCAAAGCCAGCCTGGTCTACAGAACTTGTTCCAAGACAGCCAGAGCTACACAGAGAAGCCCTGCCTTGAAAAAAATAAAATTAAAGTAATGATGACTCAGCACTGTAAGAGCAACACTTGAGAGGC